TTGAAACATTATGATGTCGAACCAATGTTTGAAAGCAACGTTGGTTCCTGTAGACATCATTAAAAAAATTATTTTATCACATCTTAGTTAGCAGGTTATCGTCTTAGTTTAGACGACCATCAATTTGTTAACGAAAAATGACGAGTTTGAAACATATGAATAGTCAGGTGACCATTTTATAATTTTTAATAGTCGAGAAACTCAACAAAGTAATATCATGTAGTTAGGGGACCATTTATGTACTTTACCCTAAAGATTATTACTCATGATTTTTTTTATTTTATGAGATCATTATATTATTATTTGATAATGTTTTGAGAATTCTTATTTAAGAGAGTGTGCATACATTTAATTCAAAGAAATATGAAATCAATATAAAATATATACAAATTAATTAAATTAAATCAAATGATCTTTCATAATTCATATTTATTTTATGATCTATATTCAGGATTATCCTAATTAGACGTGATAAAATTTATATTTTATTATCTATATAAAAGAAACTCCCTGATTAGACCGTAGGGTAACCCTAATACCATAGTTGGTCTTCTGAATTGAAGTCTAGCCACTTACCAAAACAATGATAAATGGACACATAATTGTTTGCTTTTGTGGGTCACCCATTCCTTTGTTCTACTTCACAAAGGCACTCACTAGACTTTTGATTTTGGGACCATTTGACCTTAGTACAATCCAAAATGTCGTGGGAGGCATATCAATAATATTGGCACAAAAATGTATATAATTAGCATAGGCTAGACCTTTTTGTGGGGTCCTAATCCCCCATTCCTATTATATTTAGATTTGTGATCAAGTTCTCCTACTTTAATTTAAAATACTTTGGTCCCTCTAACTTTATAACGTTATTATTAAGTATAAATTGATAGTAATACTGAATTATTGTCAACTAGGTAATGACATAATATTTTACTGTGAAAAAGTTACAAGTGTTATTTTTACGGTATGAAAATTATTTAACGATAACAATTAATAACATTATCAATTTGAATTATAAATTGTAGAGATTAAATTATAAATTTCAATATAGTAAAAGGGTAATTTCACAATATTAAGCCCATAAATTGGGGAGATATCACTCATGTGTATTGGGTGGGTCCGTTGATCAAACACATGGCTATCCTTTCTTCTCATTGGAGCCCACACAATAGAATATCAATGTCCCATCAGATAATCAATTACTCCAAATAATATCATATTATTATAGGGAAAATAAAATAAAAGGTGTCAAGTTGTCCTTGAAATGGAAATCATTCCTACTTCAAACTACCTTTTTGGTGGAACTATATTTAAAATAAAAAAATTAGTTTAAATTAAGCTTTTATATGATATAATGTCGTATATACAAATATTTATAAGATATGAAATATAATTTTTTTAATATATCAAATATGATTACAATATAATATTTATATTTAATTTTAAATTTAGATAAATTTATGTATATTTACAGGTAAATTATTTGAATACGGTTAAAATAAAGAGAATAATATTTTCTTTATTACAGGGTCAATGTTTGGACTAGAAAAATTTATGTTCGTATGTGCAATTAAATAGTTAAATATCACTAATGGAGTTAGTTCAAGTGATAAACAACTTGACATCATTTAAGTACGTTTCGAGTTCGAAATCTTATGAATGTAGAAAATATCTGTTAAGAGACTCAAACATAAAAAATCAAGTGTGTAATACAATTCAATAAGATAATCTCATATTACATTTTTAGTTATGAACATTGTCCGTGTGAATCACGTGTAGCATCCTCCCAAATCTAACTTATTTGTGAAATGGTCCTTGCAACTATCCACTATATTTTATCAGTGGCGACTTTTTATTTTAAGTTTGGAAAATAAAATCAGAGATACCAAATCAGTCATTTAAAACAATCATCATTACGGTTGGAGTAAATAATTAAAATTTTATTTTTACCATTAAATGAAAATCAAATCGATTAATGAGTATTTTATATCTAAAATTTTAATTATTTGATATTTATTAATATTTATATTTTTTTTATCAGAATCGTACTTTTAACCATAATTAAAGATTAAATTGAATAAAAATAGAATTGGTCCAATATTAGGGAAAAGAGTAGACTGAGGAGAGGATACGATAACATGATTTTATAAATTATTTTTTCTAATTTTAAATACGAACACTTCAAATTAATTATTTGATGGTAATTCATTTTCCAATTCAGTTCATTTTCTTCCTAACAAATTTCTCTCATTTTCTGAATACCCAAACAATTAAAACTATAATTTCATAAAACCAAAAATATATATCTAATTAATTTTTTTATTAATTTGAGATAACTATAAGATGTTTTTTGTTCATAGAGATAAACATAAGATTTTATACTATAGTGAATTTATAAAATATTAGAGGAAAACATACTTATAAAATTTCAGAAGGATAATGATAAATTAATAATAGAAAATACAAAACAAAAATCTAAAATGTAAGAAAATTTAAAAATTTCACAGAGACGACCCCAACCTACTCCCATCAATTCATCCATGTATATTCAAAACGCTTTTAGTCAATTAACAATGAACACACATTCTTTACCGACGTAACTATTTAAACTATAAACCTCTAAAAAATAACATTATATTTTATCATTAATAAAATTATATGATTATTAATATTTTAATAAAGGATATCTTATTATTTAGTATCAAATCTCATAATTAATACACCGACTGATACAATCCCAATCCAGTAAATTACAATCTATTAATAGTCCAGTAAATTTGTAGTGATTTCCCTATTTAGTCCCCCACAGTATTTCCGTTTTACTTTAGCATCTACAACCTTTATCCCAAAAACACCAATAAAACCAACCGTCATTGAAGGGTAAACCGACCTCACCTTTTCCCTTTAAATTCCAGTTTTACCCTCTACCTCACCTTTCAACTATTTTACCATACTTTTACTCTAAAACACAATCTTACCCACACTTTTATTATTTTTCTAAATATTGATTAATTTAGGTTAATTGCGATTATATTAAAATAGTTTCTTAAATATTCATGAATAATATTTTTAAATGCTATAAAATAATTAAATAAATTGCAATTTTAATATGACAAACGAAATAATTTAATTAATAATATTATTTAAAATTTTACAAAAACCACTTTTGAAATCACTCACATTTAAAACGACTGAGAGCTCACAAAAATTATCTATTTTAACTTGAAAGGGATGAAATGACAAAATTGCCGTTCCCTGTGTTGTCAGAAATCGTACGGTAAAAATATAGTTTACCGAACTTCCCCATGCGACATCATGAATCAGTTTCAAAAGCTCATTATCGCGAGGTAGGGTTAAATTCACCATTTGGTCTCTTAGTTTTACGTATTTTCCATTTTTATCTATTTTTCTTCACTTTAGTATTTAAATTATTATTTTTCATCCTATTTTATCCTTAAAATATCAACATTCAATAAAAACATTATATTGCGTTTTTATTGGCAACTTAGTTTTTGGGTAAACTGAAACATAAATGAGAGTGTAAACTATACTAACCATTATTTTTGTTTCATTCTTCTTTGAATTTTATCACTCCACTTTTAAAAGTTATATTTTGGTAACTCGTATTATCTATTAACAATAACATAATCACTTAGATATTAACTTACATTGTACTAATGACATGATATGTTAACAAAAATTATTAATTTCTAATTTAGCACCTAAACTTAAACTAAAATAAGATTTTTTAAATTGTTTACTTCCAAAAAAAACACCCTAATAAATCTTAAACTTATTTTTTTCTGTCCTACACATTGTCACTCTTACTCTACCCTACCATGTTGTCGATTTCAACGATAACTCTGACCAACCATGTCATTGGATGATCCCATCTTAGACTATATTCCTCTTCTCCTCAACAATATATCTACTATTAGGATCGTCCAATAAACCACCTAGTCATCAATGCCATTATTGATTGCAGCCTTGTCGTAGTAATTGATGGCAAATGTTTAAAGGTTCCTTTTTCCCCTTTGCAAACTAATGTTTCCTTTATGCTCTTACATATGAATGTGCTATCTAGTGGAAGAAGACACAAAATGTAAAATTTCATAAAGGGGTTCATAATACCATACATGTTGAATGTAAATGACATAAAAGAAGACATAATTCATTTATATACATTTTGAGCTAACCTAAAATGATTCTAAGCAAGGAAGGACTTCCAAAACTTTGCAATATTTCAACATTCAACAACAAATATTATTCCATGAAATAGGAATATGTATTATCAAATTATTTTATATCATTATTTCCAGTATGAAATGAGTTAATCATTCATTTTGATATCTGATTGACAAAAAATGATGATACGATTCCTTATTAATAAAGAATATCAGTCTTTTAGAAGTATTATGATCATCTAATAAGAAAAGTTTCATTTCCCCCCAAATGAACGATTTGAAGATCTATTAATTATAATAACTTATTGCAATATTGGTCATTCATACATTTTAATTTATAGATGTAGATCTTAGGCCTATAAATGGGGGATATTCCCTGAACTCATAAAGAAATTCAACATTTTTTCAATTGGTTATAGGCTTATGGAAATAACATAAGTGATTTAAATATAATATTTGAAAATTGAGTGATCACAATCAGAGAGAAACGAAACAAAAGAGATGGATAGTATAGTTTACCCTAAATAGTAATTCACATATCAAAGTGGGACAAAAAGATTGAACATTGAAGTACCAAAATGCAAGAATAGGTATAGTTTAAGGAGACCCATGGGGCTCTACTACATAAACCGGCACCTCATCGACACGCTCCTTTACGTGGCATCGTGCAAAACTAACGGTAAGGATACGGGTTTACGAGTCAACATACCCCGAAATTCAACGGATTAAATCTTTCGCCACGTCTGATTTTAAACTTAGTCATTAAAACCCACGTCAGATCCTCACCCTCTGGCTTTTATAAATGGCTCGGACCACTGCCCTTAACACTTAACACTCTCATCTCATTTCCATTTTCAAGCTTAGTTCTTTGTTTTCTTTATTTCGTCTTCGTTTTCCTTTTCTTCGCCGGCGAAGTATCGCCGGGAAATAAAATCCGGCAACGTGTAGTCACTCACGATCTTCGCGTGAATTTCCCGTGGCAATAACATTATGTCCTCGTCCCGTTGCGTGATTCGGGAACTTTAACTGTATCTAGAAAAAAGAAATAAAAAAATTCAAAGAAAAGCGACTCTAATTAGCTGAGTTTTGAAGTTATTCCATGCATTGTCTGCAAATTAGATGCAAATAATAGTACTATATTATAATCAACGTTAAGAGTATCGTGTCTTGCTTAAACCGCATTAATTTTTAATTTTTGACTAAGATGTGAATTTCTGTGTTAATTGCGTGCGCTGATCTCATCGAAAAACGAAGAATCAAAGAAAGTTTGAAGAGCGGCCGTGGCAACAGTGGAAGCGGTTTTTTTTTTGAAGGCTGATAAACATGCCTTTTCCGATGAAGATCCAACCGATCGATTTCAACACGCTAGAAGAGGCAGCGCCGCCGCGTTCAGAGGCGGTAAAGCAGCCGGCGGTGAAATCACGGTTCAAGCGTCTGTTTGAGCGGCCGTTCCCTAGCGGTCTAAGAAACTCCTCGACGGAGAAGATCGGTGCCATCGCAGTCACCGTCGATGAGCTTCCTTTTAGCAAAGAATGCGCCGCTGAGTTTGAACCGAGCTCCGTTTGCTTGGCGAAAATGGTTCAGAATTTCATAGAAGAAAATAACGAGAAACAACAATCTTGTGCGGTTAGGTGTAGCGGCCGTAACCGCTGTAACTGCTTCAGTAATCGTAGCTGCAGCGACAGCTCCGATGACGAAATGGACGGTTTCTTTGGTGACTCAAATCTAACTTGTTCAGCTGAAGCATCTGAAATCCTAAAGGTATAACAGTAACTCCGCCTTATTTCTCTTCAATTTTCCTTTTATCCTAAAATTAGTATTTTTTAACGTGATTTTGTTCTTTTATGGAACAGAGTTTGGTTTCTCCTACGAGTGTGAATGAAAAAAAATTATTGGCGGATACAATGAAGATCCTGGAAAAGAACAGGAATTGTAAGAGCAAAGATGAATTTTGCAGGAAAATTGTTACTGATGGATTATTGACCCTTGGATACGATGCTTCTATCTGCAAATCTTTCTGGGAAAAATCTCCCTCTTTTCCCTCTGGTATTTTCTTTCTCCCTCTGTCTTCTAATTAGTTTATGCTATCCGAATCCTATGCAATGGCTTGAATTTTATTTCTTGTTTTTTTTACCTTTGTGTTTTGATAAGCAGGGGAGTATGAATACATAGATGTGATAATTGAGGGAGAACGTTTGTTGATCGACATCGATTTCAGATCAGAATTCGAACTCGCCAGAACAACGAAAACTTACAAGTCAATACTCCAAATGCTTCCGTTCATCTTCGTCGGCAAAGCCAATCGTCTCCAGAAGATAATTGCTATTGTTTCTGAGGCGGTAAAGCAATGCCTGAAGAAGAAAGGAATGCATATTCCTCCATGGCGAAAAGCTGAGTATATCAAGGCAAAATGGCTTTCTCCTTATAATCGAATCACACCTTCACCTTCACCCACACCTGTAACTGGAACACTCAAAGACTTCGGGCTCGATTCCAAAGCTAAAGACAAAGGCCAGCCATTGTTTGAAGTGAATCCCGAGGATAAAAACTCAGTTGGAGATGCTGAGTTGGGGGAACCCATATTTGCTTTGTGTGAGAGTTCTGAAGAAGAGGAAGGGAAGGGTAAGAAGGTGAAGAAAGAAGAATGGAAGATTGGGGTTAAGATCGTGAATTCGTGACTGGTTTGGCTTCAGCCATTGAAGATGAAATGAAACAATAAATTTTTGACTCTTTTTTTAATTTTGGGTTATTGGAGAATCAAATATACAGTGGTAAATGACTAAACCGTTTGAAGAATCCCCTTCACTTTTTAAGCAAGGGTTGATCTGATTTTTACTAATATGAATGACATTTTTATAAAAATAGTTGAGAATTTTTTTTATCCTTATTCATGTTCTCTTATTCTCATATAAAATTGTATTCATGTTGGGTTTTTGTTAAGTTTGATCTTCTGCACAGGGACCTTTGAATTCATGGAATCAAGGCATGGAGAAAAAACAAAGGTGATTCCTCATATCGTGTTTTTTATTCTTTGTCCTTTTTTTGTTTTATATTCCACAAATCATCAGTTTCTGATCTTTATTTACTGCTCTTATCTTAAAGGACTAAATTTTAATGACCAGGCTGGTACAGTCTTAGAGCTTTGTGAGGTTAGTCCCAACTCTTGAGCTATTCTTTAATTGCTTATTCAACCTACTATGTTTTGCTATTTCTGTTTTACCTCCTTTAAACTTTTCTGGCAACTGGACCAAGTCCTTTTCCTGATTGCTTTTGCTTCACAAGATTGGTCAATTATGGCTTTCTTGGTCGGTGTAAAGATAACGCGTTGAAATTGGAGAATTAAAGTAGTTTGTAAGATGGTTTAATCAAAGGGGATTTGATTTTGATTATAAATAACTTTTTTAAAGAATACATGATAAGATATTCTAATTACAAATTATTTTTTACTAAAAGAATAGATTAATATTTGGCTTGCGAATGACGTTATTCTGATTCTTATGTATGTAGTAGTTGGCATTTCAAAATGTTTTGTCCTTGATGTATCTCCAGATCCTTTTTTTCTTCTTTGTTGCCCGTAATGAAGGAAATGAAAGTTAGGGATGTGAAAACTGAAAACAACATATAATCTCCATGAATGGATGTTGTGTTAGGTTTGAGGGTCGAACCCACTTATTGGCTTTGGTGGGGGGCATTTGAGGATTGAGATTACTGGTTTAGACCAGGACTCGTGGTTCGGTTCCTACACTTTGTCAGAAGGATCGTCATTAAACATAGAAAAATCCATAAGAAAGATGATATCTGAGACTGCTTCGATTACAAGCTTCCCTGGTTTCAACCTAATGGATGATTCCCAAATTTAAGGACCTAATTTCACAGTGGGATAGTGGGTGTGCTTTTGTTTGAAAAAAGTAAATTACTTGCAAGACGGGTAAATCCTTAAAGGATAAATTATAAATTTTACCACTCTATTTTTTTCACTTCTATTTTGGTCTCTAAAATTTAGAAAAAAATAATTTAATCATTAAACTTTAGACATTATTTTTTTTATCACTCTTATATTTTCTAGTGAGATGACACAATATTTCTTTTATGAATTTTGAAATTGTTATATAAGATTTAATTAATATTTTATTTATTTATATTTTTTATTGAATTAGATTTTCCCACTACCCACATATCATCACACGTCCCTATCTTCATAACACCGTCTCTCATCCTAAATCATTCATTAATCAAATACTTACATGGTCTAAATTACTATATCTTTTTCTTTGAAATCCAATTCATTTCTAATGACACCACCATCAACTAGAGCATTACTAACTCAATTCATCACCTTTAATAACACTGCAATCAACCCAATTCATCGCCTCTAATGGAAGAAGCCTTGGAGACTTGGACTCTTCCCCGTTGTAAACTTCATAACCTCATTTCTCTAAACTCTAGACCATAAAAATGTAAGCCCTACAAATTTTAACTCATCGTTTCTAAACGTAATTTACCGTTTCTTTGATGAATAATCTTCAAGGTATATAAATTTATGGCTCGATATAAATAATAAATCGTTAGACAATAAAAAATAACTGATGAAATTAAAAATTTAATAAAAAAAATTAAAACAATTCATTGATGATTGAACTCTCCATTTTTGAAGATTTCAATTATAAATTGAGGAGCAACATATAATTAATACATATAGTTAAAAATATAACTTTCTAACATTTTAATGACACTAATTTTTTTATAAAAAAAAAGTTAAATTCAAAGTCATCAATATTGTTGATAATATAATTGTGATATAAAATTTTATTTTACAATTTTATTTTGATTTTATAGAATGAATTCACAAAAAATCAAACTTAACAAATAAAACTATTTAAAAATTAGTATTTCTATGAAAACATAAAATCGTCTAAGAAATAAGAGGTAACAAAATTATGTCTTTATACTTTTAAACAGCGTTAAATCATTGAAAATCTTATATCACCATCAATAATTTCATTATACCAGACAAATAATCTCATTTTTTTAAAGAATAAGTTTAAGTCAGGAATGACTCTCTCAATTTAAGATCAAGATTCAGAGTATATCTAAGAACCAATTGAGATTTACATAAGAATTTACAAATTGTCCACTAAAATAACGATAGTAGTATTTAAACTTGACCTTACAAGCTCAAATTTTTAAATCCCAACTACTTGTGCCAACCCTTATTCACTCAAATAATCTCATTTTAAAACATATAATTATACATACTCTTTTTGATAAAGTAATTATACATAATTTAATATTTTTATAAACCAAATGTATTTTAAATATTATGTTATCGGTAAGGAACACCAAATGTCGTTGTTTTCGTACTGACGTTATTCTGATCATATTATAATATCTTGAGATTTGCAGAACATGAAAACCGTCTGATTATTTATTTATTTATTTAAAAAATCCTTGAATCAATCATTGCGTTTGTGAAGTTCGTTGCTCTTATTTTATTTATAATAATTTCTCCAAATTGTACAAAATAATATTGGGTGGGGTCACATCCGGTGTATGAATATATAATAAATAGTATAAGGTGCCGTTAATTGTTATGTCAAAGGTTTTGGACATTATTCGACTTATTTATTTACATTTATATTTGTGAAAGCAAACTCACACCAACTCTACCTCTGTATATCTATATGCATCAGCAGATGATTTTCCTTTTCTAACCTTTAAAAATAAATTAAAAAATAAAAAAATTGGGTCATCACTAACTTTGTAAAAAGAAAAGGAAAACTGTAAACAAAAAAAGAAAGAAGGAAGGAAAAGACAAATCTGATTCCTTCTTGTCTGTTATAATATGTCTGTGTCTTTACATGTAATTCAATCTGATTTTAATGGTAAAAAATGAATCTTTTAAAGCAAAATATCGAATTCAAATATTACACATGAAAAAACAATGTTATAAAATATTATCTTAAAATTATATTAAATTTAAATTGATTTTTAATTTGATCGAAATCCTTAAAACTATCGAATATCAAGAGTATATGTGATTATATTTATCGAAATAAAAACTATGACACCGTCGGTGGATTCCAAAGGAATGGGATGGTCTCCTTTCTCCCATCAATGCGTCCCTACCCTTTTTTATGTCCAAGTTTTGGACCACACTGTACACTTCCCGTTTAAAGATTTCCAGTCTTTGCATGAAATTTATGCAAAGTACTTTTCACGTAACATTAATTCATACACACACTCTAAAGTAAAAGAATTCGAACTTGTCTATCATGTTTTTATTACATGTTTATCTTTTTTTTCCCTCGGATTCTGACAGGATTTTATTGCTTGATGCTGCATGAAATTATTGTTATTATTATTATGCAAACTCATGACTAGAATTTTAGTTCGAATGCCGCCCTAGGCACGACTTATTGTGATTGGGTTCGAGAGTTTAAGTGTCTGGAACAAATACGAAGTTTATAAAATTCAGGACCGCCCTTGCCGGCCCTCATCGGTCCATCTCGTTGGTGTTATAATAATAAGGTTCATATGATTTTCATAGATAATAATTTACTAAATAAGGTTCACTGAATAGACTTAGTAGAGTCAATGTTATAATGCCTAGAAGTTAAATACAAAAGTGCAGTGAGAGTGCATACCTATGAATATATTTTTAACTAATACTCCTACCATAAACTAAACTTCTCGAACCCCATCTCGGAAAACACGACGAGAAGGGCACCGACATTCAACTGTGCTTCTTGTTCTTGGTAGATGCATGTTGTCTAGGTTCCCAGCTGGACATGAGTTGACCGACACCACAGGCAATCGGATCTTGAACGAACTCCGAGCCAGGTGTATGCTGCAATGTGGATGTTTCATTGACATTTTTCACACCTTTGGTATGTAGATTCACGGTAGGAGGAACCAGGGTGTTGCCCGCAAAACCACTTTCCACTCTCCGATGGTGCATGGGAGCAGCAATGCTCGGAACAGGTTGGTGAAAAAACTGATTATTGTTCGGCTGCAATCGAACAGGAGAAACCGGAGATGCTTCCAATGGACTGCTAACAAAAGGGATGCCGACGTTAGCTATATTGTGCCTAAATGGAGCAGGGTTGATCCCCGTCACCCTCTTAACTGTTTCTTCGGCCATTTTTACCTGAAAATTTCAAATATAACAATCAACCTGATAGACACAGAATTAAAGTTGCATCAATCAGGATCAATAGTTAAGCTATAACCACTTGCAGCAGCTTCAGGCATAAAGATGCAAGACTGTGTTTCACTGTTCGCAACAGTCCAAACACCGACAATAATATCTAATGTCGAGCAACGTAACTCCAGTGCATTAGTAAACGCGAGATCATGTCAGTATTATCCATTATATAGTTATTAGGGAGACATACAAATCATAAGTAATTTCAAGTATATGAACAGTTGAACACAACATAGAAGTTAGTGTGTCAGTACCGGACAAGTCCAGCAGATCCCTGAAGCAAATACAAATCACTAAAACCAAATTAATCTCCCTTCCTTGAGAGAATTGCAGCTACTATAATCTGCAAGTTCATTTACGATTAAATCCTTTAATCCTAGATGAAGAAGGAAAATGAATTTGCCTATTGCTTTCAGAGTTTGACAAACTCATCTTCACAAACTTCATGATGTCACAATAACATATTCTCCTGTCATTTATGTGGGAAGTAAACTTTCAACAGGACCCATAAGTCAACTAACCGAAGAGTAACTGGACCACAGTAAGAAAATGCAAATTAGGCAATGGTGATGGTGACTGACTTGAGGGTGATGGTTTACCACTTTACCTTTGCTCTTAATGTCTCGATATCAGCCTTCAGAATTCTATTGTCAACAGCACCTTCATCATATTTGTGATTCGTGTCATTTAGAGTCTTGAGTAATGTTGAATGTTCAACTCTTAGTTGACCAACCTAGAAAAAATCACTTCCAGGATCAAAAAGACAATAAAACAAAATGCACCAGACCATTAGGGGGTAGGGGGAATCGTGTGTCAAAACCTGTGCTTCAAGTTCATTCATATGTGCTTGCTTTCTTCTTCTAGAGCGTCTGGCTGATTCTCGGTTTGACAGCATTCTGACCCATGACCGACACCAATTAGTCCAGGGCAATTTTTTGATCGCATCAACGAATTGAAGATTGAGTTTAGCAAGAATTTATTAATTCACAAATCTGGCAGTGAAATAGGTAATTACTAATTACTGCTTAGAATACTTGTGTTTTGACTAATTCTTGAAACGGATAGAAGAATTTTGTTCAATTAAGTGGTATAGAATCATAAGTTCAAGTTCTATTTGATAAAACAAGTATTTGAGTCCTTTGAAGATAATAAATTAGTCTTATAGCTATTAAAGAAATACTGCCCCTTTTAATTAGGGCAAAGAAAAAGATAAGAAGAAAAGGAAATCAAACATGTTAAGCAAAAGAGAATAAAGAACAGAAAGACATAGCATTGCAAATCCTCCAGCCAATGAATAATACAAGATAAAAAACAGAAAACATGATTACCTCCTTGCACGTTTTGCAACAGCTGGATTGTCAGTGGTTTCAGTATCTCGAAGTTCATCATCATCTGAATCATCTCCTGACGACACACTTGTTGTTTGCCTCCTTTGTACCCCCGTTTTTTTCTGTGTAGTTGACACAGCCAACATTCCACAAGATGTAGCATCTGGTTCACTCTGTCCTTGAGCCTTTAAGGAACCTTCAATGGAAGAATTTTTATCAGCAGGATATTATCATATGTAAACTAGTCATCAGAAAAGGAGAACAAATTAATACAAGAAGAGCTCCAAAGTTCTTTGGCATATCTTGTAGCGCTTAGGTATTAAAAATGTGAAGAAAATTAAGAATGAAAATGGAGAATTAGAGAAAAAAGAAATATAAACGGGTTAATGTTCCGTTTCTTGTTTGAATGGCTATGTAAAGTTATCAAATCCAGTAAAGCAAATTGAATCACTTTTTATGTATTCCTCCATTATGTTTCTCATTTTCCTTTCCTTCATTCTTTCAGCTCAAGCATGAACCGAAGATCAAGTCACATTGCACTTCATGAAAAGTGAAAGCATGGCTATTAGTAGTTTACTGTTATTACTTATTTCGAGTAATCATGCATGATATGCAAATAAAGGCTCCAGTAAAAACTAAATGAAAAGCAACGCTTTCCTACAGTTCAAGAAGCCAATGAATCATTGATGTAGTTAACTTAAAGGGTCCAAACTACAGAAAATTCTTGTAATTGGTTCTGATTTCTTCCATAATCTGACCCCCAACAAATCAGAAACTAGATGAACTATATTGATTCAAGAACATATAGGCTTGCCATAGCATATAAGCTCTGTTGCTCGGACTTTCCATTTCTCATGAATTTCCTTGTCCAACTCTTGGATACAGGGGTATGACTTCCAAGGATCCTTCAAATATATGGAAAACCATATAAAAATCTAACCATACCCCGACACTAGCACTCATGTCCGAGTAACATAGTATATAAGGGTCCATCTGCCATTTAGAAATTAAATTAAACTCGATTAAAGGTTGCAGCCTCCTATTACAGTGAATCATACTTGCGAGCATGAAAATGCTTACTGCTCTGTATATGACTAGTGATCTTCCCAACTAAACTCCATCAATTCCCCAAAATACAAGCATCCTAACACGGAAATGAGCATTTTTCAACACAAACCATAGCTCTATTTGAACTAACTCCTGCTCAGGAATATAATTACCCCTTTGAACTAACTCAAAATTGGATCCATAATTTTGAACAAAAAAAAATGGCTCCATAAAATCTAAAAGAGAAGGATATAACTAATAATTTATGTACAGGATTGAGTAACTGAGTTAGTCGTATGCTTATATCACAGGAATTGCGTTCAAATATCAGTCACAAAAACAAGAATAAGTAACGTAAACGTTTCTTCATCCTTAGTCTAAACTAGTTCTAGCTATTGCATCAGATAAAATAGTAAAGTCTAGGACTCAATTCATTAGGATAAAGGGGAGAAAAAGTCAAATCAAAGGCATGCAGAGCAAAAGCTTACCTTGAACTTGGGATCTCGATTGAAGCGACTGATCTTCAGGTTGGGCAGACGAAGCTTCTGCCTTCACAGCTGATGCCTGAATAATTTTTTTTTCAAAAAAAAAATGAAGAAAAAAGAGATGCATACTGATATCACTTAGATCATACAATAAAGAATCCAATTCGAAAATCGAGATTAGAGAAAGAGTGATACACGAGAGAGAGCAAAAACAACACAGGCTTGCTCGAGCTTGCTCTTGAGGATCGCCTGGACCTCATCGGAGTTAATCGGGACCTTCGGTTTCAGAGCGGACGGTGGAGAGCTATGATTCTGATTACCAGGCCTTTTGATCTCCACCACGTCATCAACACCGTCACCTTCATATTTTGGAACGGACTGCTGAGGTTCCGCGAAAGAGGGACCAATCACACTCCCACTCGAACGCGACCCCGGGATATCCTCTCCACTACCTGAAAACTCTTCGAGAAAAATCTCCAAAGCCCACTCCGATTGGCTTCGGTTCATCCCCAACGGCGCATCCCAAAAGGAGTCGGATAAATCGTCAATTGAGAACACAGTATGCATCGTTTTCAGTGAAATCTTTATCGTTCTTTTCTCCAAAATGCAATTCGACTTCCTTTCCTTTTTCTTCCTGTGTTTAATATCATTTAAATTTAGTCTTAATTGCATCAAATGTCCCAACTATAATTTAATTTAAAATTAGCTCTTAATGTTTAATATATTTTAATTGAATCCTCAAAACATTCATATTATATGTATCAAACCTTTGTTAGCTAAGGCATTGAATATCAACTTCAATTTAATCTAAAATATTTTTAAATATGCGAACCAAATTCTAAATGCATATATTAAATATTAAACAATTATAAAAGTTATTTATTTTTATACCATATAAAATCCAATTATATTATGATATAAGTAAACATGTTTATACTCTAACCCACATGCTTTGAATATATTCTATATAATATTTGAGCTGATATTTAAGGCTTATTCCCATATATGGATTGAGTTGAAAAAAATATTGATAACAGGAGAATGTTTAAAATTTAAGATTAATTTATCAATTGAATATTAGTTTTATTGGTATTCAGTGGTGGACATAGATGTTGCTTAGGGTGGGCACGTGTCTATCTTGAAATATAATTTTATTTTATGTTAGTTGTTTATTTTATTGATAATGTCTACTCTGAAATTTTATTTGTGTCCATCTCATACAAAAAAATATACTATTAATATATAATGCTCACCCTCACAAATATTTTTGAATCCATCACGGTTGATATTGTTGTTATTCTAATATCTATAAGATTGTAGGTATGAGTATATTTGATTCTTATTTTGGGTTGAGATTATAAATAATTTAGGTATTGTAATTTGTATAAAAGAAGATTACTAATAGTTAATTGGTATGAGATGGTATATTAGATCTTTTAATTAAAGTAAAATATTTGGATCTGAATGTTGTGAATAGAGCAAACTGAGTTAGGTAAATCACTCCGTAATGAGTCTCTGCAGTACTTAATCTAGTTCAGTCGATTAATTGGTAGAATACAGATGGTTAAACAAAATAAATTATAAAACCACTTTAAAATATGAACAATAGTTTATGGACGTATAGCGAAATTAATCCTGAAAATTATATGCGGGAACGAACAAAGTGCGTATCCACTAACATCCGGACAAGAGGAAAGACAGGTTCGGTGGGGAGTCCCAAGTTGCTTTTGGGAAAAAAAAAGCATAAAATGTAATGGGTTCTCCAGCTGTCGCATGAAAGACAGAACGCAACACATTAGACCGGGTCCTATTTTATTGTACGGATTGACAAGTTATCATCCTACCTATTTCCCATTGCCTTAAGCAAAGTATATTTTGACTCATCCTACGCACAATTCTCTCTCTTTTCTATTCTGTTTTATGACGTTTAGTTGGATAGAATCTCTTGAAATTGGGAGAATTGGAATTTAATTTTATTACATTCTCATGTTTGATTCAAGTTTTCTAAGGGAATCCTTGTTAGAGGGAATTAAAATTTGATCATATTATCCTTATCAATCTTTTGGTAACTTATCCATATATCGAATAAAAATATTTTTTTATTATTTCGGGTCGGGTCGGGTTTCTAATTTATATATTCGGGTCGGGTGAAACTTTATTTTGGTCGGGTCGGGTCGGTTTTTTTAAGTGTGACATTCGGGCCGGGTCGAGTTCAGGTTTAGGGTGAAAAATACCCGACCCAAAAATATATATAATGTTACCTTATATATTTAGGAATAATTACAATAATATCCCTCTCTATATATATTTTTTCAATTAAGTCATTGTTTTTATTGAATAAAAATATTTTTTATTATTTCGGGTGGGGTCGGATCGGATTTTTAATTCATATATTCAGGTCGGGTGTAACTTTATTTTTTTTCGGGTTGGGTCGGGTTTTTTAAGTGTGATATTCAGGTCGATTCGGGTCGGGTTTTTTTAAGTGTGATATTCAGGTCGGGTCAGGTTTTTTAAAGTGTGATATTCGGGTCGGGTTTGGGTTTAGGGTGAAAAAAACCGGACCGACCCAAAAAAAATATATAATTTTACCTTATATATATATTTAGGAATAATTACAATAATACCCATCTACATATAATTTTTTTCAATTAAATCAATGTTTTTATTGAATAAAAATAATTTTTTTATTATTTTGTGTCTTGTCAGGTCGGGTTTCTAATTCATGTATTGAATAAAAATAGTTTTTGGTATATTTTTTTGGTAACTAAGTAACATACTCCGATTGGAATGTATCAAAATATTGCTCTATCTTTTGGTAACTTATTAACATATTTTGATTGCGATTATTTTAACTTATGATGTTTATTAGCATGATTTTTATAATTTATTGAAATGAATAATCAATCAATAAAATGAAAATTTAATATTTTTTAATTTTTTTATAATATATTACTACATGTAAGTTGTAAAACAAACTAAAATAAAGCAAAAAAATAAGAAGGGCAATTCTGTCATTTTATATTACTGAAATCAAATTCATCTGACATCTCTGCGAACCAAACAGATTATGAAATTGGATTCCAATTCTTGACAGATTCCAATTCTCTCATAAACATTCCAGCAAACCAAACGCCGCCTTTGGGTTTTTGGTTGGATGCTTACAAGTTTCGACCTTTTATTTTGCTTTTGCTGAGTTTACTGATGTGTAAAATTTTTGTTAACTAAAATAATTCAATTATTTAGTTGTTGAAGCTTTACTTTTTCGGTTTGAATGAAGAATTACAACAAATGATTAAATGATGATTGATGGGTGTTTAGATCTTTTGTTTTCATAAGAAGATAAAATAAAGAGGATATATAGATAAAGAGAGTTTAAATCATTCTCTTGATTTTGGTAGGGAAATTTTACAATAATCATTAATGTTAGTATCAAATGTAGAGTTGCGATTTTGAGTCTGATAGATCAAATTAAGCTAGTTTAAGGTTATGTTTATGACTTTTCGAGAAGTGCACAACTCTTGAGTCCTTATATCCAAAGATATTCTCTCAGGTTTTTTCATCGAGAAGAATTTTTTCGGGAGTCTTTATTCTTAAAAGAATGATTCTTTAAATGACCTGGTATGTAAAGGTCGATCTTATATAAAGAGACTTAGAAGATGTACATCAGACAGTAGGTGTCTAAAGATTTTTTTTTGTTGAAATTAGGTGGCTAACATTTTTTCCGTTACACTTTTAGGTGTCTACATCGTAAAGACCGTTAAAAAGTTAATTAAATGAAATAGGTCACAACTATATATATTTTTTTTTGAAAATTTTATTTTTTATAACTAAAAACAATATTATTTTCAAAAACACCTCATATGTATTCTTATTTGTTTTTATAAAATACCCCCCAAATCATAAAACCTCCCTCCTAAGTCTCTAACCCAAAGTCTATTATCACCGTTGACCGTCACCACCGTTAGCAAACACCCTACTCATCATCTCGCGAGTTACCATCAAAAGTAGTGCAGGAACTGCTATTAGTGCCCCCAAGTCTCTAACCCAAAGTTTATTATCATCGGTGACTTCTACCACCGTTAGCAAACACCCACCCATCATCTTACGAGTTATCATCAAAAGTAATGCGGGAGCTGTTATCAGTGGAGGAGAAGCAGTGCAAAACCCTCTCGAATGGAGCTCGCCCGCCCTTTTGCTCCATCGTCCCTCTCCAATGACACCACTTATGTAACCGTCAAGACCTCTGTGTCTTTCACCTCTCACCAATGCGAAGCCCTCTCATCGGACTAATCGTGTCACCAGTGCAAAGCCCCTCTCCTCTAACCAGTACAGTCGTCGACGACATCATGCCTTTCACCTCTCATTAATGTGAATTCCCCTCGACAGATTAATTATATCACCAATGCAAAACTTCTTACCTCTCATTAGTGCAATTGGCGAAGGTGAAAATACGATAAAGATTTATTTTTTTATAATTTCAAAGAAATTAGAATTTTTAAATAAAAAGTAATACTTTTAAGCTTTTGATTAATTAAAAAAACTTTTAAAAAATATAAATGTTATACATGTTAATTAATGATTTTTTAACTATTAAAAATGTAATAGTCACCTTTTTGATTAATTTGTCCTTCAATTAGATCAAAGCTTTTGGTTAAAATTATCTTCACCAGTCTCTTGTGCTTGTATTCGTCACTAGTTTCAAGCAACAATTGCGGAGCACTTGGCCTCTATCTTTGGTACCGAGAAAGACCGCGTGAATTGCATCTTATATTTTAAGATTGAAACATGTTAGCACGGTGACAGGTGCTCACGGCTACACAACAGGCCGACGATCTCCCCGACGCTCCTTCTTTCTAACATGTACCAGCGGCCGGATATATTCAACCCCGGTATTGATGCCCAGGGCCAGCCATCGACCCCCGCAAGATCCAGGAACACTTCGAGGACTTTTATGAGGATATATTTGAGGAGCTCAACAAGTTCGGTGAGATCGAAAGCCTCAACACATGCGACAACCTCGTCGACCACATGATCAAAAATGTGTATGTTCAGTTCAGGGAGGAAGATCAGGCAACGACTTTCCTCCAGGAAAGGAAGGTTCTACTATGGTCGTCCTATCATTGCTGATTTTCCCCGATCACCGATTTCCATGAAGCAACTTGTTGACAGTACGAGGATATTGAGAGAATGAATGATGCAGTTCGTGAGAAATGAGCGTGCGTGTGTGTAGTACCAAGCATGGCTCACGTTTAGTTCATGTATAGCTGGGTGTAGAGAAGTTCTAGAAGAAGGAGTTCTAGAAGACTATGATGTTATGAATTTGTTATAGCTTGTTAATTAGTTACATGAGGTTGTTGTATTGTTGTATAAAACCATAATACTGCATACTGTAAAGGAGAATCAATTCATTCAATCAAGAAAGTATTCACTCGTGTTCTTTTTTTGCATTTATGCAATATCCCAACATGGTATCATTCGCTTTCGGTCCTGGAGCTCTCTACTGAGCTGCGATGGCTCTCTTTGGTGATTTCTCCTCCTCGTCAGCCTGTATGTTTACCAATAAGCGGGTAAATGTGGTGCTCGATGAGATGAACTTCCTC